CTATGTTTGAGTATGAGTATCAACGCACGAAAGAAATTCTCTAGCTGTGGCTATACCGACTTTACCACATCCTCCTTTTCAGAGAAAACAAGGCAATGATCCAATCAAACTGCGCTTGCATTTAAAGATATAAAACAATTATGCAAACCATTAACCATAGCAGGGTGTCCTGACGCACTTGGCAGGTGATTTAATCAAAAGCAAAGTTGCAAGCAATCAAATTGATACACTCTTGTACAGTGTAATAGATAGTTACTTTAGGGATCAAATCATGCCACAGGAAGCCGCAGATGCAGGCACCAATACAAACTAGCACCATTCCCAAAAGAGCGAGTGCGGTGAAAATGACCATGGGGGTCAGGCGACATGCTGGAACTCCAAATTTGTTCAAACTATAATACAAATGTTGCTGCTTAAGTTACGAAACAAACCATAAATCACAACAAACAAAAATGACATCCGTTCATCATCGTAGCTCGACATTTCTTTCTGATTGCAAAGCGGGCTTTTCCAGTGATATCGGATCTTGCTAAACGGATAAGTGTACTTAACGCCAAGCTTTCGATATGCCTGAATCTCCTAGCTGCTGCCTATTCAGCGACTTTGCAAAAGTAGTCATAGTCGCGATGAAATAAAAATGAATGATAAATGGCATTCGTAACGATCATTTAACCTGATTTGCATCTGAGAAGTGTTTTATGAAATGTTACACGCTATAAAGCAAAATGTTGAAAATTATAACTGGATTGGGATATCAGTAAATCGTTGATGTAAAACCTTCAGAACGAGGAAATAAATTACTTGTGCCTCCTTCTAGCCGACGAGATAATGCGAAGAGAAAAATCTCGAGCGTGAGTGAATGAGTGAAAATTGTACAAATCGAAGAGCAAGAATAAACAGTCTGTAGAAAGCGTCGAACCTGAAGCAGACGTAAGACTGCAGGTACAATTGTACGCTAAAAACTCATCTCTCATCTTCTTATGTAGATCAGTGAATACCATACCATTATGTGAAAAGGTTATGGGAAACTGCACACCGTAAAGGCCACGTAGCTGTAGTATTGCTTTCGTAAATAAGGTCATACTAGTTAGTCAAGAGAGCATCGAGAGCGAGGATCAGTGGCGCTCAATGGCCTTAAAGAAAGTTATTTGTCACAGGTGGTGCTAATCATGGAAAAACTTACTATGACTACACGGGCTCCTCAAATTTTCCATTCCAAAAAAAACCAAAGAAAGATCCGGGTGGTTTCCATCAACGGACGAAAACTTTTTCGCTGCCTCGAACACCAATCAGAGGTTGTGAAAACGCGAAGTTAATGGCGTATGATAAAATAATGAACCGTTAGCTTTCGAAAGAGAGTGAAATTGAACAACTTCTGAACATGTGTTGAGGAAAAAGGTGGATGAATGGATCCGTCTCACAGATCAGGAACACGTAAATCAGTGAAAAACAGAGTAAAATTGGCCTGTATTGAGGTGTGAAACTAGCAGTTGTCATCACTATTTATAACCAAGCAGAAGTGAACAACAAAGTTGATCAGGTGAACCATAAGCGACTTGGACGAAGCCATGTCTGCCAAATATGGCAGAATGCTTAAACATCTACCTTGATCACTGTCAAGAATCAGTTCGTTTCAAACGGTGGTCGAACAATTAAGTCAAACTGTGCAAAGTCTGGAAACATCTACAATCCAAGAACTTTAAAAATACAGTATACTTTTCAGTTTAACTCCATCCTGTATGAATCAAAGTTCTTGAACCGATTCGGTTTCTTAATGCGCCCAAAAACAGGACAGAATTCAGTACGCTACCAAAATTTATAGACTAGGAAATTCGCTAGCTGGGAATTTCAGCTCTAGTTCACTCTCAACTAAGACGTAATCCCACAGGCATTTAGAAACGGATGAAGGAAACATATTCGACAACTGCAAAAATAGCTTCGTTGACTTTTCAAAATTTTTGTAATTCTCTGCTTACCGTGCCTCTGCTTCGTTAAAATAGGCTAAAGGATAAGCGAACCGATTTCATTACTGAAAAATTTTGGGGCGCCTCCAGTTCAAAGATTCCCGGATTTGAGAAGTTCGACTGTAGCTTGTAGGTTCCACTGTTATCTAAGCTCTACAACATTAACTGCGATTATAATCAGTCACGTGTGGTGGACATTAGCACCGCTGTCACTGAATTGTGTCGTAACATAAATGCGAACATTTGTAGCCGCTGCAAGGGCCAGATGAAACAAACCCAGAAACGAATGGTGCCCACGGGAAGGCATGCAGGAATCTTGCAACTATAGTTATATTTCAGTGCATGAATCAAACAGGTACTATTCAGCACCTGCAAGTCTGCCGCTGATATGTCATTCCGTGAATGGTGTAAAACTCCGCCAACTGTGCCACTATCTATGCTGTAGTTTTCATGTGTTTTCATACGTCAGCAAACGATGTTGTTTCTTCGCTTCTAGAAGTGCTGAATAATGAGTATCGACTTTCTGCACTGAATATGTCCTGTCAACTTTTTCTTCGTTATTGTTAATCGGAAGTATGCATAAACAAAACGCTCCGAAGCACAACTGTGAATCCTGTAACACTTTTAACAGCGATGATGTGCTTTACGCAGAGTCACTAATTCTAGGTTGTAAAAAAGAACCATGACTAATGACGAAATGACGAGATCTTCACTTTTATCTTCACACGTATGCCTCGATGAAAGAAAAAATATTCGTCAGACTTCTAAACAATCACAAACAGCCCTTAATTATGAAAGTGTACAGGAGAGCGACGTAACAACCATTAAAACTCCCATTCCTGGTTTTTGTTTCTCCTACAAAGAAGGGCCTTAAAGACAAACGGTTTGCTTTTAATCCTTTATCAACAATGCATCGTTAGTCATTCATTACAGGGGTTATGAAACGTCTTCATGGCTAAGTAGAATATACTCCACTGAAGTTCGCTCTGCGATTCGATTTTTTGGTCGCCGTCCGCGCCTTGCAACGTGGGTAAAATGATTGGATTTGTGGCTAATACTCCAAATGAACGAGCTAGAAACAGTCATTGGGGCAGAAGGTAGAAAAATACTTACTTCGGTGAGTCCCTGCCGCCGGTGGAATTTTCGGCACTTCGCCGAGTGCCCGCCGACGCCATTCTAGATCAACAAACAGCGAAATATATCAGCTGCAAACCAGCACTAAAACAACAGCGTTTACAACACATTTTAACAAATTAGGTCGAAAACACGTCACCGCAACAAGGCTGCAAGATTTCCGGGGTACTATCAAGCAACCAGACCTCAGAGTATAAGGTCGAAACTAAAATAAAGCAATCAGTGAAACGAGAAAGGAGAGAGCGAATACAAGTTACTGAAAAACAGAAACGTACAATACACCGAGTCGAAGGTGAAAAGTTGTTGATATTACCACGGAACTAACCTTGTAACAGCAACCAGAGAATCATACGAACTTGAATGCATAACGTCTTGGCAAAGTTATTCCAAAGGAGACCGAAACGTAAACAATATGATTCCGCATACAACTCCAAAGACTAGTTTCAATTTCTTAAGCTTCAAGAAATCAGCTTTATTCCCTGTTATCGGTCAATGGAGACGTTTCTTTCGAGGCGGCAAATTTCTCGATTCAGGTCGATTTTGCAGTTAATGGCAATAATGGCGGATAAAACTCCGCCGTTGCCGGTTCCAAGCCCGGATGAGAAAGAAGGC